CAACTAATAATAATTTACATGATGTCTCTGTTTTTTATATTACAATGCAACATCTTTTTTTATATTATCAACTTTTATTTAGACACATTTTGAAGATAACCCAAATGATTTAAAAGCACTTCGTCATGACACAATAATTCATCCTACACGTGTACAACAACATATGAAACAAATACCACCATATCTTATGCCAAAAATTGCAGCACCTGCTGCTAACGCGTCAACAGACTCTGACCACATAAATGGAGAATCAGCGGGATCCAATGATTACATTCCACTCCGTAAAAAATCTACAAACGAACGTCATCACGGCAGGAAAGTGTTTAAAAACCACAAATTTGGTCCAAAGGTGCGTTTTATGACTTAAATGTTGTTCTTATTTAATTACTAGAATGGAAACTGATTTATTTGTCGAAACAGAAACGTAAAAATGACCCACTGAAAACATTTAAATTTGACTCTACACCAAGTAAAAGAAAGGCAAGTATTAATGTGGAGACCACTATACTATATCGATTTATCTAAACAACAATTTTATGTTTATAGAAAACACGATGATTACACTTGAAATTATAAGGTAAGTATATATTCCATAATAATGAATATGTACGAGAATTTAATTACTGTGGTTTATAGGTCTAGCTATTGATTGACATTATCGATTAAGCTTATTTCAATTCTAGCTTATTGGATTCATTATGAATACGAGACTGGGAATTCATATGAATGAAATGTATTATGAAAAAAACTTTAAAGTTTATTGTATGCGTATTATATTAAATAACCATTAATTTAATGTGATCAATTCTCTCATGACAAAAAAAAAACTGTTTCTGACGGATCGTCGTACTGTGAAAAAAAATCGATTTACATGAAAAAACCCATATTACCATAACTTATACATGGGGTGTCTAAATTACTCCTCTTAATAAAAAATTATTTCGACATTTAGTCTGTCGAAATTAATTTTTCTTAGTGGCGAAATTAATTTTCATAGTTGTCGAAATTTTTAGTGAAATTATTTGAATTCTTTGTCAAAATACATTAGATAGTATTGTTACTTTGTGGAATTCATATAAAAAACTATCAATGTTGAAATATTTGTCGAAATTGCTTTTTTAAAATAATAATTTAGACACCCATGTATACCGTAACTAAATATATGAATAAAAATTGATCTTGATTCTTTATGCAGATACAAGGTCACATACTTGAATTCAATTCAAGTTAAAGTGATATTCTACAGATTTGTTGGCTTATATTTTTAGACATTATATTTTCAAAGAATTGGTTTTTTTTCAAAATCCGAACATCTCTATTTTATTAAGCTAATGTACAATAGGAATTGTACTGCATATAAATAAGAATCGACACTAATTCGAATTAAAAATTTTTAAAATTGGACAAAATAAAAAAAACAACAAACTAGCCTGTGCCCCAAGCACTACTTGAATGTTCTAGTTTTGTGGCGCAGCAAAAATTGTTAAACGTTCGTTTATGTTAGGGTTAGGGACTAGGCCAGAAGTTTGGGGGAAGAGTTTGCATAGTAAATTTCCTAACGAAAATTTTTTGTCAGAGCACCAAAGGTGGTTTATGTTGATTTTCGAGAAATAAGTGATTTTTGATAAAGCGAACGTTTTGTTTTGAATTTTCTCGATCATGTTACATTACCCCCGATCTGATTAGTAATTCAAAGAATCTGCGTTTCCTAAATCAATCAAGTGAGTTAACACTTCAACATAGAAATACTGGGTATTTTCAAAATTTTCCTTCAATGTGAATAGCACAATTAATTGATGTTTGAAAATATATCGAAATGTTATTAGTAATCGATGTTGTGTATAAAATGAATTGAAGTGAAGTAATCTTATAGCATGTAATAAGTTCTTCAATATTGGAAATTGATTGTAGATTGTTGCAGAGTATCTTATGTTTAAATCACTTCTAAACAATGCACAAACTTTTTTGCTGAGGATGCCATTTTCCTTTAGTTAGATATAAGATTTTTTTTTTGTTAAATGTATGCTTTTTAATAAGAATTTTTAAATTCGTACACAGTGACTCTCATTATACGTAACAGATTTTTGTACACTCTCCTTTTTTTACAAGTTTTTATGACTGCAATTTCTTGACAACCCATTTATCAAATTAGATCAAATTTTTTTTATTTAATAGTTATGGAAACAAGTTTTTATTTACAAAAATTAATAACATGTAGGATAGCCATTAACTTCAATTACAGCATAAACATGACGAGGCATACTTTCAACAAGAGTTCTAAAAATCAAATCATCTAAATTAAATCATTCATTCTGAAGCAAACAGAATAGTTTCAACTCATTGCCTGACAGAGGAATATGCTTACAGATATGATGTTCTAATTCATCCCAAATATATTCAATAAGATTGAAATCTGGATTGTATGAAGGTCAGGGAAGTGTGTTAACATAATTTTCTTTTAACCAATTTTTAGTAAATATTGCAGAGTAAATTCTTGCATTATTGTTTTGAAAAAGATTTTTTTTTCAATAATGTTTTCTAGAGCTTTTAAATAAGGTAATAAATAATCATGTAGAACCTTAGTATAGTTCTTTGCATTCATCTTATCAAAAACCTGAATCAACAGTTTAGAGTCATATATACTAAAACATCTTCATATCATCACATTTCTTCTTTTTGATTTAAATATTAGAACCAAACAATCTATATTATATTTTTCTTTTGATTCTTTCTAAATATATATTTAATCATCTTTTTCAAATATTTCAAATTATGATTTGTTATTTCAGATCAAATTTTTCTATCTTTTATTTTAATATTCTTTATTTTCAGCTCACTCCAACTAACCCATATAGAGGGTTCATTTACAAATAATTTTTTCTTTTCAATTTGATTAAAAAATCCTTTTTCATGAAGACAACATTAAATGATATGTGTAGACATTTCAATGGATGTTGATTAGATAAATTTATTAGTCAAAACATTCAAATTATTCTTTTTATCTTATTTCAAAAAGTATATAAGATGACAAATATTATGTTCAGTTATTTTAAAGAATACTTTTGAATAAGAAAAAGGATTGATGACTCTATTCTTTTTATAATAATTAATAACATCATAGATTATGCTCTTAGAAAATTTCAGAATTCTTATAATCTTTGCTAACTTCATATTATTATACCAAGTGCTAACAATTTAGTTATTCTTTGAAAGTTTTTTTTTTGTTTCTTGATAAAAAAAAAAATTTGTAAAAAAAAAATATAATTAAAACTAATAATTTGATAAAACTATAAAAAAAAAATGTTACTTTTTATTAGAATTGATTTCACAAAAAAATTTTTTTATAATGAGTTATTGCTGTCAATTATATATAATTTTTAAAATTCTAATAATTACTATTAGAGGAGTGTATATAAACAGAAAATAAGTAAATAAAATCTTGACAAACAGATTAAGGTTTAAGTATACATTATTTTAAAATTTGTACATTAACTGAAAATTTAAAGATAGGTTGTTATATAATTTTTCTAGCAAATAAAATTATATATATAAAAAAATATATTATTAATAAAACTTTTTAGTATTATATTTAATTATTATCAAAATTTAATAGTATATAAATTTAAAACTTCTAATTATTTTAATAAAATTTTATAATTTATTTTGTTTTAAAAAAAATTACATTATATATTACTAAGTTTTTCTGAGTCAGTTTATGAGTTTCTTAAATCACACAAAATTTATATATAAAATTTATAATATAAACAAAATTTTATATAATATATTATATAATTTGCTATATAATTATTATTAAAAATGATCTATATTATCTTTATTTTTAACTCTAAAAAAAAATTTTTAATAATATTTCTAATTTAATAACTTTCAAAACTCAAGTCATATAGTGCATTTCAAGTACTTTAGTTATGCCAAAAACAAGGTGTTAAATCATATAATTTTTAATTTTATTGATCTGATACCTATTGCAAAAACCAATCAAATTTGGCATTAAATTATTACAATTCAAATATTCAATTTATCAAATTAGGTTTTATTTAACAAATAAAAACAAATTTATAAACATCAAAATAATAAATAAATATATATATTTTTTTTGCTTTCACTAAGACCATAGTTATTGGTAGCTATTGCCTTTATTGTATTTTTAATTATGATTACATAATTTGTACAAGATAAGTATACAACTAGCCACTTATACAACTTTTGATTGTCTAATTTAAGTAGTCTACCTGTATAGCAGATTCTACACTAGCTGCTATACCTGCAATCCATTAGAAGATTACCTATTTTAAATACTCTAATCCTTATACTATACTAACAGATAGTATACAAGTTCTTATATACCTATTTAGATATTGTCTAACTTAACTTTGACCTTCTTTTCTGTATGTTTATCAAGCTGTTACATATTTCAGAATATGTTACCTAACTGTAAAACTCAAGAGTACCTTTCTGTTAACTAACTACCTATATTTAATTCTCATTAATATGGCTTATTCTTGCAGAGTTTACCTAAACCCCAGCATTAACTTTACAGCATATCTCTAGTACTTATAGTATATCTCTGCTTCTAACCTTAGACTTCCAATCCAAATAGCTTGAAAAAACTATAACATGTTTTTGGTACCCTAGAGTCTGTCTTTCAAGATCCTTTTTCTCTAATTTGAGACTTCTAATGGCCTGATTGGTAGTACTCCTTACTTGAAATTCTTGCCTACCTGATTTCTTCTATATTGATATCTATTTTCTAGGTCTAGTCTTTATAGTAGTACTGTTAAAAATTTGTGCTACTTCTTTACTTAGATCTTTTCAAATAGGTTTTAGCTTCTCAGTTCACAGATTTATACAGTCATAAGAACTTATCTTGGGTTTGCACCACCTGATGTTGGTTTGCATTCCTCTGTATAACTTTAATATTGTGCAGATATCTCATAACCTGTCAGTTATGCTAGTGTAACCATGTTACAGATATCTTATCTTAACTGATTAACAGAATGCTATTATTGTAATACTGTCTATATATTATATAAGTGATTATTCAAATTTTCATTGTTGATGGGTTTTGAACTCACTACCTACCACTTGGGAGATTAACAACTTATTTATTTCACTAAGTTACCACACCCCTAATAAATAAATAAATAATTTACTATTATATATAATATAAATTATTATATGAAAAACATACAAATATATGTTATATATACTAAAATAAATTTAATTTGGCATGCAATAAATATAATCTTAGTATCCTAACTATAGTAAAAATAGAGTGTTAAATTATATGATTTTTGATCTGTTAATCTAATATTGAGTTATTATTTGCAGTCAATCAAAATATATCAAGTATTATTTTTAGTATACTAATAATTAAGATTATTAATTTATAAATGAAATATTATTTTACTTTAATAAAGTATGTAATTAATTTATAAGCAAAAGCTTTTTTTATCTTATATACAAATATAGTATAGTTTTTAATAATCTAAACTAAATATATATTT